GGATTATAGAAAATGAAGATATAGAAAAGCACAAACATAAATTGTAGAAAATGTAGAAGACATAAAACATAAAGCACATCCATAATCCCCCCTCCCAGGCCTGGTACTATTAACATTTGGATGTAGTTTCTCTTTGTTTACACAATTCATTACATTATTCTGTACAATTAATATATTTTTGTTAACCTATAACTTAAGCATTTTTATTTGTAGTATAAATTATTTGTACATGAAATTGATAACAGCTCCTTCTATTGAATCCATGAACAGTAACTTAAAATAGTTTATGGGTTTATATTCAGAGACACTGAAATAACTGGAAAGAGTCACTGTCAGGCCATGGCAGGGGCCTGGAGGTGGGACAGCCTGCAGCAAATGAAGCACATGCACTTTGCAGCCATCCTGGCCTCCTCTCAGGCCCACCTGAGTGTCCGAATCCCTCAATGTGTGAAGCAGGAGAGAGCTACCCGCCTCTTCAGAGAGGGAACACCTGTCCCGAGCTGTGTGCAGACCCTGCCCCAAGGGAACTGCTCATGACATCGTTGCCTTTGGTCAGCAGCAAAATGAGGAAAAAATACAGAGACACCGTGTCCTTTGTGTCCTTTATTCTGAGACAGTGCCCTTGGTCAGCTAAACTGCTGTTTCTTTTATGAAATGAAGATGACAATAGAGGATCGTTCCTTTTCTGGATCCTTCTTGGGCACATTACTTGCTTTTTCTAGCTCTGCTTTGTGAAACCCAAGCCGGTGAGCAACTCTTTGAAGGCCAGCTGTGCCCAATTCTTGGCCATTCCGTGACTGTCCCTTGCATATCCCTGCTAACCCTTCCCCGTGCTCATGCCCACCCTTGGACAAGATGGAGCTCTGTCAGGGTCCCCTGGAGCGCCGCCCGCTAAGCTTCCTGGACAGGCCTCTCCGCCAAGTAGAAGGATCAGTTCCCTCCGGGTACTCCATTCCCTGACGGAGAGTCTTCTAGAAGCTCCCTGAGGCTGACGCTGCTCTTGGGAAGGGCACAGAGGAAGGCACCCCGGTCCAGGGCACCATCTCTTGTGACCACGAGGGCATCTGTGTACTCGGCCGTTCCTGCCGAGGCTCCTGCTGAGGAAGGTGCTTTCCCACTCGACAGTGTAAGACTTTTACAAACAGTGTGTTCATTTCATAGGGATTGGGGGTGGGAGGGGAGGAGGGCTGTGGGGAAGAGACTAGAATAAGAGCATTCACATTGCGAAGAAAACGAAACGAGTGCTGCCCTGGCTGGTGTGGCTCAGTTGGTTGAGCGTTGATCTGTGCACCTCAAGGTAGCTGGTTCTATTCCCATTCAGGGCTCATGCTGGGGCTGCAGGCTCCATCCCTGATGGGGGTGTGAGGGAGGCAGCTAATCAGCGTTGCTCTCTCCCATTGATATCTCTCTCTCTCCCCTCTCCCTTCTTCTCTCTCTCTAAAATCAAAAACATTTTTAAAAATGACTGCCAAGAACACGTGAATTATCTAATAATTATTTAGCTCATTGCCATATCAGATGTTTCCGCTGATACGTTTATTTGAGACAGATCCCAGGTTTAAAGAGAAGTGAATTTTTTTCCTCCCCCACTGATTCAAATGGAAGAAAAAGGGGTAGTTTGTGTGGGAATTTGTTTGAACCCATGCTCTCAGGCTTTTCCATTGCTTCCTTATTTCACTCCACTCCAGATTAGTTTCCCTCTCTTACTGAGAAAGGGGCAATGGCTCACAGGGATAAGGTCCCACATATCTGAGTCCGGGATTAGGGTGGGGACCTTTGAGCCTGCCTGAACTCTGTCTTCCCTTTCCTGTGTACATCTTTCCTGACACTGACGACACACCTCTTCGGCCCTGATAGGCACTAAGAAAAAAAGGAGGCTTGTCATGCATTTGTTGACAGAGCAAGAAGGGGGCTGTCGTCTGTGCAGATTGCTGAAATAGGAGACCTTGGGCTGCCTGAGAGAGGTGTTCACAGGCCACATGCCCCGCTCTGTGATTGCTCTCTGCTGTCACGAGAAAGGTCTGTTTCCTGCACCGAAAATGACAGTGACAGCGCTCTGTACAGGAGAGAAAACGTTACCGTTTGCTATGCTTGCCTTTGGATTAGGGGGAAACAATTGATGCCATCTCTTTGTTAATATCAGAACAGAATAGTAGATAGAGCCGGTGTCAGAGGATGGACAGCCTTACCTATCTTGAAGCTCCCGGCACAGCCAGCCAGGGAGTGGTCCTCCCACAGGCTCTGAGTCGCTGGCATAGGCTGCGCAGTGTATGCAGCCAATCCCAGACTAGCCCTGCTCCTTTGTGCGGCTCTCTGATGCTTCAGTGCAGCAAGGTCGTCTTCTTGGCCAGCGTGTGAGCTTATGGGGGCAGGGACTTGCTCTTTTTAACTTATTTTACTAAAAAAAGGTCTCTAACTCCTCATAGGAATTTGGTAAGTGTGTTTTGAAGGGATGGGTGAAGTATATGTGTGCTCACATGGGCAAACTCAGTTGCCCAGCAATAAAAGAAAGGGAAATTCACCAAAACAGTTATTTTTTTTAATTTTTACTGCACTTAAAAATGTTCTGAAACATATCAATTGGTGAACAGTTTCAAAGCCAGAGGGAAAATGCTTATTTTCTAAGACTTCTCTGTATCATGGAGATATTTTATGATTAATTTTTTAAAAGGGAAAATAGTAGCAGGTTAGTAGCAAGGACATAGCAGCAGTAACAAGGTTGCCAGTTAACATAGGAAGAAGATGGAAAGTTCCACTTAAAATAACTATTTGGGGGCCACTTAGAATAGGGAGACCCAATCTGCTAACCTCTGTTCAAGAGCTTAGCACCATCGGCCTGTTTATAATGCTGATTCAGCATCAAGCAAACAGCTCATTATGTTCAGTAGACTGTTTAATAAGGCATGGAATTAGTACTCTTTCGGTACTTAATTAGTAATTAACGGCACTTAAGATAAGTTTCAGTTATCCGAATATTCAATCACGTGAAATAGCTAAATATCCTGAAACTTCACAAGCCACGCGGGAGTCTCATGATCCCCTTACAATGGTCAGGTGTGTCACTGTTCCTGAAAGGTAGAAACGCTGATCAGCTGATCAGTGAGGAAGCGGCTTTCTCCAACTCAGTGTCTTATAGTCAGGGGATTCCGTCGAGATGTGGGCGTCTCACCTTCGGCCTTCTTTTCTTCCGCATGGCTAGTTATTTCCAGCTGTGTGCTTCCACTTTTGTTGGCTTGACGATCGTGGCCCTCCTGACAGGAGATGTTTTTTGTACTGGCCATGTGACCAAAGCCATATGGACATTTCTTCAGAGGACAAAATCAAGGAATGTAAGGAAATAACATTTAGGATGTTGGCATGGGATTATGGTCGGGCTTCTAGCTAGCATGTGGAAGAGACACGAAGAAACGGAATACTACTCAGCAATGAACATGTGTGGCACTCCTGACCCACACAGCAGCATGTAAGAGTCTCAAGCTGCCGTGCTAAGAGAAAGGACCCGGACACAGGCTGCACACTGCATGATTCTATTGACATAGAATTCTAGAAAAGGCAAAGCCATAGCAACAGACCTGGTTGCCTGAGGCCTGGGATGGAGAAAGGGGCTTGACTGCAAAGAGGCACCAGGGACCTTTTCGGGGAGTGATGCAAATATTCTCTTATTTATGTATTGCTACCATGGTCACACAACTGTACATTTGCCAAAACTTATCAAACTGCACACTAAAAAATAGGTGGATTTTATATAAATTCGACCTCTATAAAGTTGTTCTAAGAAGTTAATAGGGTGGAAGCTGCAGATCGCTTTTCGTACACCTTTGAAGATGAATCAGTAACCATTGTCAGTTTTGTTATGGTTTGCTGGATGTCAGTAAGACACTACCCTGCTAAATGTTAAGAAATGCCTCATGACGTTATATGGGGTGAAGTTTGAGTGAGTGATTAAGCCACAGAGTCAGGTATAATTTATCCCCAGCTTTGGGTTTTCCTTGTCTCCATTTCAATATGGCTTCATATTTGCTTCCAGTATTTTGGGAAGCTTGACCCCATAGTGCCATACCCTCAGTACCCAGAGAAGCAGAGATCTCATACTTGAGCCTTGCCTTGAGCCCTGCCAGTGCCCGGACATTTTAGTTACCTTATGCTTGGCCCTTCCACTTGATGACATGTTGAGAGTGGGCTCTCTTGTTTCCCAGTGTTCTTGGTCCTCCATTCCCCTCTTTCCTTTTCCCAGTGTCAAATGCTTTAGTGGAAACTAATTGTTTAAATAGAAGAGAGATTGATCTCATTTCCCCAACTAAATAAAAAGTAAATTGAGCCCTAGCCAGGGTGTCTCAGTTAATTGAGTATGTTCCTGTGTACCTAGAGGTTGTGGGATTGGTCCCCAGTCCAAGTTTGGGTGGAGGCAGCCAATCAATGTTTCTCTCTCACATTGATGTTTCTCTCTCGCACTCTCTCCCTCTCCCTTTATCTCTCTCAAAAATCAATAAAAAACATTTCTTAAAAAGTAAATCGAAAAAGACCAACCAAAATTGGAGTCAAAATGTACATTATACTCTTCCTTTCTTGGTCTTATTAATAATGTTGGGAAACCAGCTATGATTTTTCAACAAATTTAATTTTTCTTTAATCCTCATCCTAGGATATGCTTTTATTGATTTTTTTTTTTTTTAGAGAGTAAGCGGGGGGGGGGGGGAGAGAGAGAGAGAGAGAGAGAGAGAGAGAGAGAGAGAGAGAGAGAGAGAGAGAGAGAGAGAAACATTAGTGTGAGAGAAAGACATTACTAATTGTTTGCCTCCCACACATGCCCTGACCAGAGATTAAGTATGTGCCCCGACCCTTTTGGTATATAGGATAACACCAGGATTCAGCGAATTTCATTTTGATTAAAAAAATAATAATAATAACTAAAATGGAAGGATTAGGATTCTTTATTTCATCTGTTTATTTCCTTTATTTTATGAAGGGTGGGGGGGAAAGTATAATTTAGAGTCTCATTTGTAATATGCATGAGCATTTTTGCTGCTATACAATTACATGGTGACTAAACTATGATTGTATATATCTATTTTTATTTTTGATGTCAGCCTATTATTTATCTGATGAACTCTCTCCTTTCCTTTTTTAGCTGGTGTTTTAGTCTTCTCCTCTCTCTTCCCCCTGCATTCTCCCTGTAAAGTGCCCGTGCAGGCCATGGTGTTGCATGAGCCCAGCCTCCGTGGGACAGCGTGGTGTCACTGCTGATCGGCAGCTGGGCCTGAGATGCTGGAGCTAAGCTGCAGCTCGCATTGTTTCCTGCGAACTTCTGCCTCTCAGGGCTGTGGAAATTGATGACCGAATAACGCAGTGTACACATCCTGAGAATGTACAATTCCGGACAGAGCAGTCTGCTTTTCTTTAATGCAGTGTGCTGAGGAGAATATGTGCAAAGCTTTCTTGGTCCCATGCCCTGAATTCTTTTACTAGTATTTCCTCTAATATTTCAACCTTTTACAAATCATCCGTATCTTTAATCTCACTCTTATTAACAGCTCAGAGCTTAGCATTGAAGGGGAAGTTGATTTGCTGTGCGACCTTGGGTTTGAATTCCCTTATCTTACAACTGGGAGGGTAGGCCTGCCTGTACTGGAGGGGATGTGGTTTAGAAAAGCTAATTAGTGATTAGAAAACAGTGTGTAAACATGCTTAGCAGTGCAGAATCTGTTTCAAATTCTTTCCCTTCTTTTCACCTCCCCTCCATATCAAGCAACTTTAATCTTCATATGTTCTTTTATTACTCCAGCCCTCATTCAACATCTTTTTCTTTTTTTACAGAGCCTCGTCTAGGTTCCAGGCACTGCTTTAGGTGATGGGGATTCAGCCGTGAATGCCATTGACTGCCCTTCTGGAGCTTACATTTTAGGAGTAAAGACAGATAATAAAATAATGAAATAAGACCTGGCTTATGTTTTTAAAGGGCTGCATTGATGAGAATATACCATAGAGGCCTCTTAGGGATAATACCATTTTCTCTTAACTTAAAGGGATGTGTCTGTGGTTCCAAAGACTGGACATAGGCACAGGTAATGTTTCCTCTCCTTGATACAGGAGGACACGTTCAACAACTTCTACAGAGGGTAGAAGTCTTGCCATTGATTTGTTGCTGCAGTCCGTACAGTGTGGACAGTGGAACATTGTCACCAAAGGATGTGGTCCCTGCCTGTGATGGGGAGACAGACTCTCCAGCTGAGAACCCCATTCAGTAGAACACCTGCTCTGAGGAGGAGTGTCTATTCAAGGGGCAGTGGTGAGGATCCGTGCCTGAGGAAGGCTGACCCAGAGAAATAGAGATTTCTATTTCTAATGGAGTTGACCTTGAAGGATATGGACCAGTTAGTGAAATGTAACTTGTGTCAAAAGGCGCTTTCCCTTCTCCACGAAGGCCAGCAGCCTCAGAACAGAGCCTGGTGGCCCTTGCAGGTAGCCGTGTTTCAGTCAAGCCGGGATGTGGAAAAGGAAACGTGGAGTTGTGAAAGGTGAGGCAAGACTTCAAGGGCTAGACTGAGGGTCAGGGAAAGCCCTTCATTCGGTCTCTAAGGAGACTGCAGGCCACGGTCCAGTGACTGTATCCCAGTCACGTAGCAGATTGGGATGGAAAGCTCTCCTGACTCCCAGCATGGCTTTTTCTACTCTCACACGGCGCCTGTAATTTGTATTCCTGAACACAGAGTAAAACCTTAGGACTCATTTCTGGCCCCGGAAGACGGCTCCCTGGGTCTTCCTCCTAAGTGGGGCTCCGTCAGCAGCCTCAGCGGCTCAGGAAGTATTGCTACACAGGTGGTAGCTGTGGTCTAGCATCTGTCGCTGCAGAATCCCCAGCAAAGGCACCCAGGAATTTCACCAAGCTCCCCACCTAATTTTATGGCCACTGACATTTGAGAAATTCTCTTTCTATGCTATTTTCATGTCCTGTTGACAAAGAAGAGGGAAAACATGTTGGAGCATCCTTCAGAAGCGAATCCGGACATTTTAAAATTAATTTTCTTTCATTTAATAATCTACCTTTGACATCATTCATATCAGTGATACATCTGCCTCATTCTTTTAATGTACATAACTAGTGTTTTTCTGACTGGTGTTATCTCTAACGGTAAACTCAGTCATAGCTTGTATATCATGACCAGTATAATTTTTGTCTGATTTTTAAAATGAAAGAAATTAGAAAAGAGTGTTTGTGAAAGTTTCTTTTCAATATTCCATGTGTAGGTAAACTAGTTTCTTAGTTCAGGCTGTGGTCAAAAGTCAGAAAGCCAAAGATACAGAGAACTCTGGAGATTTAAAGTATTTGTCAGGCACCCCACATTGGAACTTGTGTTGTCTTTCTGCGAGTGAGTTCATAATAACTGCTGAACTTACTTTATATGGCCACATGCAAAAATCAGGACTTTAAAAAAAATGCATTATTGCTCAGCCGGCTTGGCTCTGTGGTTGAGTATTCGACCTATGATTCAGGAGATAGAGTTCGACTCTTGGTCAGGGCACATGCCCGGATTGCAAACTCAATCCCAAGTGTGGGGTGTGCAGGAGGCAACCAGTCAATTAGTCTCTCTCCTCATTGATATTTCTATCTCTCCCTCTCCCTTCTACTCTGAAATCAATAAAAATGTATTTTTAAAAAATAAATAAAAATAAAAATGTATTATTAGTTTGGCCTATGCCTTGTAGTTGAAGGCACACTGCATAGAAAATGCTTGGTTTGACCTTGGGTCTGTAGATACTATAACATAAGAATTGAGTGGAGAGTCTTATTGGAGTTCACTTGATGTTACTCTAAATACAGCCTTTTACTGAGGAAGCTGGCCTGGTGTGTATGGCGTTGGCCTCTGACCAACACCTTACAGGAATCTCCTGGCATTCCACCATGTGTACCTACAGAACATAGGGCAGGTTCTTGGGCTCCACCTCCAGAGCTCAGAAAGCTGAGCCTTTAAAAGACCCTTTCTGCAGCCTTCTCCTCTGGGTGTCAGGCTTCCTATGTGGGAACTGCTTGTTCATCTTGTTTGCGAACTTAAGTTTTCTCGAAGTCACATGCCTCTGAGTGTGCCGAGATCGACTTTCTGTTTAACGTTTGACTGGGGATTTCACTGGGACAGGATACGAGCTGTCGCGACATATCTGAAGCCTGGGAATTTCTCTTCCACCCCCAATTAAAAGCTGCATAACCCGAGAGTTTTCTAAAATTGCGTGCCTTGAACGGGCTTCACCCACAAACTCCAGGCTGTGAATTTCTAACTGTGCTAAAACATTTAACACTGCCTACAACCATTCGAAAAGTTCTAGCAGGACACAATGTGGCTCCCTTTCTGAATTTCTTGAATTTAGTGATTGCAAAAGATTAATATCTTTTCTAGCATTTTATTTTTTCTTATTGTAGAAATGTAATGAAAAGAAGGAATATTGGTGTGGTTGTTTTTTTTTTTAACCAGTCCCCACGTAGGTGTTGCCAAATCACCTCTACTTCAATTCAATGTGTTGTATAAATATCGTGTACTGTGTTGTTCCATGATGTGAAAAATATTGCAAGCACCAGCAGAATTTATTGGGGGCCGGATATTAAAATCACCTGTAGAGCCTCGTAAGGGCATGTGTGTTCTCTCTCCAGCCAGACCTGAATCAGAACTACACTGGGGTGTGGGACAAGGGCCAGGCAGGCATGTGTTTCCTAGACAGTAGTAAAAATATGCTAATGCGTATTTTTGTCACTGTTAGTGCTCTTCTCTTTTGACACCTCAATCATGTATTTTCTGTCTGTTTTCTGGGCAACTGGGACTTTTAGTGACTTCATTCAACCTTTCTAGAAGCTTTCAACCTTGGTCTTCCTTCCCACCTCCTTCCTTGTCCTGAAAGAGCGGAGACCTATATCTCCCCATCCCCAGTATACTCTCCCAATACCAGTGTTTGTCCCCAGGGCTGGGCCTCCTGTGCTACTGGGAGCTCCTTGAGGGCAGGTGTCTATGGTCCTCAGTAAATCTGTTGAATGAAGGAGTTGCTGAGTGCAGGGCAACAGGAAAAGCAATGACAGGGCTCCCTGGCCCGCTAGCTAGTGCAGAGGGGAAGGAATGAGCCCCTGTGAGGAGCTTCCATTGGCCTTTTCCTAGGAAGAAAGGTTTGGCCACACCAGAGACAGACCATGGTCCGTCAGGTCCCCGGGCAGTCAGGAGCTCACTAAAGCAGGTTCAGTGGCAGAATCTGAACTAGGATCAGGTGTCCCTATAGGCAGCTGGCAATTTATCTCTGGTATGAAGCAAGAGCAGCAGGACAAGAGGTCATCAGAGCTGGGCCAAGGGGTAGTGACCCGCCCTCCCCAGTTAGGTCTATCACAACCTAATGAAACTGTTAACTCATTTAAATGTTAAGTAAAATATCCAGTGTTTGGCAAACTAGTTCATGAATCAGCTCACACTTGTGAGGTTTGTCGTTTCCACGCTCGGAGGTAGGTAGTGTAGGTGCCTCTGCTGTCTAGATGTGGACACTAAGGGGAATTCACAGATGCCTGAGAGGCAAGTCTGGGAGTGAGCCAGGTCTTCAGACTCCTCGTCCAGTGCTCCCTTCCCTGTTCACAACACCTACAGTTCCTTTAGAGCCTGTCAGTGTTGGCAAGTGTATACTCAGCACCGCAGTGAGACCCAGGACCCTTTTTGAAGAAAATGGGAATATTTTGAAGAAAATGAATATTCTTCAGAGATCCGAGTTTGGATGGGAAGCCTCCTAGGATTTACAAATCAGATTTCCTTGTTCTCTTTGAAAGGTGTCTTTAGTCTACTCTGAAAAGCTTGTCATGCCTGTCAAAAGACGCGAGCGACAGGTGAACAGTGAGGCATTCTGAGAATGAGAAGAAAAGGCTTTTATTAGGGAGGGAAGGCAGAGCAACTTAATAATTACTGTTGAAATAGTCACAGCAATGCCGAAGCTTCTACATAATTTAATCTAACTTAATACCAGCTGCCACCTCCCTGGTGGCAATACATAAATTAATTAATAGTAGGTTGGAGTTGAAGCAGTGCCGCTGTATTTAGGCCATTATTAACTTGTTCTCTGTGCCTTTCTGGCATGGCTGGGTCTGTTCGTAGCTTCTGGCTCTTATTTCCATTGTGGCTTCCACCAGCATCAGGATTCTGAGGACGTGTGCTATGCTGTTGGCATTTCACTCCCTTTCTGTAATAAGCACGTAAGCCCTGCAGAGAGGTGACACCTCTTGACTTGTCGCGCGTAGTAGGAATATGGGTCTCTCCTGAAGTTGTTGCTAAAATGGTGAGTTCTGAGTGGGATTACCCCAAACTGAACTCGGGTTCTACCACTCATTACTGCATGACCTTGGGCAAAGTGTGGAACTATGAGGAAAATGAATAATAACTGTATCTACACCCCTATAGGTTGTTGAGACAATTAAGTGAATTAATGCATCTAAGGCTCTTGGAAGAGGGCCCAATATGTTCTAAATGAACACTGGTTAACACTAGTAATCGTACCTCTCCCTGCCAGTCCTCAGTTGTTCTTCATTCCCAAGATACAGACATGATATCCTCTTGCGTGTTGCCAACTCACTCCCATTTGCCAGATGGTCTAAAAGCCCCCCTCTACCCCCCACCCCCAAGCCCTCCTGAGTTCCTGGCTGCACAGCCAAAGCCACTCACCCGGTAACCACTGAGAAACAGCCTCATCAAAGAGGAGGGGATTCCAAAAGCATCTGCATCTACATCTCCGCAAGAAAGGAACATGCATAACTCATTTGAGAGCTCGGCCACCATTCCAGGGAGAGTTGCTGCTGCTTGTGACGAATGCTGTTGAGGAGCTCGGAGGAGTCGTGGGTAAAAGTGCTTCTGTTTTGCTGCAGGCCTCTTGGCCCCAGTAGGCTTCACCCTCTTGGTTTGGGATGCCAGAGGCTTGTGCAGGGCCCTGGCAGGACAGGGGAGCACTGGGCGAGGTGGCATTGGCTGCTGAGAAAATACTCCATCTCAGCAGCCCAGTGGCCCCATGCCTCTAGTCCAGCCCTCCTCCTGCTTTCCGTGGAGCTGGGGAGAGATTGCTGTCCTGTTGTTTCCCTGTGGGACCCCGAGCGGCCAGGCAGGACAGCTGTCTGCTGTGGGCTTTGGGAGGGATGTCCCAAGTCTCAGGTCAGCCCCACCACTGTGCTGAGCAGTCTCAAGCCAGTCACTGTCCTCCTCTGTGCCTCAGCTGCGCCACCAGTAAGATGGCATCAGGTTGCTGGGCAATAAAGTGCCTTCGCACGGGGCCCGGCCCAGGGTAAGCATGTGGCATCTGCCATTGTTTCTTTCTGATCTCCAGCCTTGTCTCCTACAGACTTCCAGTGTGGACAGCTGTCCACCTCCGGCCCTCCAGCCTGTCCTGTCAGCTTACAGCCAGCTCTCTCAAGACCTAGCACCTATTGGAGCCTCTGGGCTGTCCCTCAGCATCAGACTCCTGTACCTGGATATTGTGTCAATATTGAGTCTTTTCATGAAGTGTTTTAAACTGCTATTTCTACCTGTCTCTCTCCCTAACTAGATTGCAAACCCATGGAGACAAGGCCTCAGAGATTCTGGCATAGACAGCAGTGGCCAGTGTATGGCAGGCATTCACTAACTCATTCAACTCTGCTTAAAGCACCCCCATGACACCTACCTCAGTGGAAGTGTTATTTCTATTTTGATTTTAAACACGTCTATTATTTCTAGACTCATCCTTGCTGGACGGGCACAGGCCATATCCTTGTATATATCCATGTCATTTATTTTCCTTCTCAGGAAGTTGGCTTACCATTTAAGAAATCACAGGAGGTCCTGCCAGGGTGGGTGGTTCAATGGTTGAGCATTGGCCTATGAACCAGGAGGTCACCGTTCCATTCCTGGTCAGGGCACATGACAGATGGCAAGCTTGGTCTCCAGTAGGGGGTGTGCAGGAGGCAGCCAATCAGTGATCCTCATTGATGTTTTTATCTCCCTCTCTCCCTCTCCCTTCTCTGAAATATATATATAAAAGAAATCACCAGAGGAAGAAAAAGTGTAGTGTAATGGACTTTTACAGTTAGGAAAACTGAGTTCTATTCTGAGATCTACCACTTATTTTAGCTGTCACCCATCAAACTCATCTCTTAAATTCTGTGTCCCAGTTTCTTCATCTGTAAAACACAGGGAGTTGTAAGGGTTACGTGAAATAAAAAACGCAGGCTGTTCGGCACAGTACCTGGTGCATGAACTTGTAGCCATCAGTCCCTGCTCAGACTCTGAGCTCCGTTGTTGTTATGTTGTTCGGCTTCCATAGCAGCAAGTGTAGATTGGCAGTGCTATCCATACATTGCGGGAAAATGAATCTTTTTCCTGAAATGAAATAGAATGGAAAAAGGTATTTGTACAGTTGCCAATTTCAGCAGTTTGCAGAAACTTCACGACACGGTGTTGCTTAAAATAAGAAAGCCAGTACAATAGCATGAGACGCTAATACAGGAAGAGGATAGAGATGAATCTGTGGATAACCTCCTCCTACCTTGATACGTCGATAAACAGAGGATTTTATGAGGGTACCACCTACTTAGCATACCACCAGCTTGTTTATAAGCGTTTTGTTCTTGGGGTTGCTGTAAATGTCACTCTGAAAGGAGGGTTTAAGAGGAATTTTACAGTGAATGCTCTTTGCTATTGATCAGACTTAAAAAGTAATTGCTTCTTTTGAAGCTCTCTTTTGCCCTTGCAAACATCTCCTCCAAGTTCCTCAGAACAGTTCCTTGAAACGCCGTCCCCAGATGTCCACGTGCGGGGGGTGTGCGTCAGATAAGATTTTGGCAGAAAGTCCTGAGTAAAGTTATTTTGCTGTAAATCCAGGCCCGTTCTGATTAAAATAGCCCAAGAACACGCAGCTACAAGCATGTGGCAGGGTGCCGTTTGCTCTTAGAAGCAATTAACCGACATAAGAACACTTGTAAAACTTGTAACATGTGCAGCCCCTACAGCTTAACCAGTAAACTCTGTGCCACATGGCGAAAGCTCTGTCTCATATCTGCCTTTTCATTAGTGTTTGCAGTAGCAACACAGTTCTGTTGTTCGGTATGTAGCCTGTTAAGGAGAGAGGACCCTTTAGTTTGGGGGGACACAAACATTGGGCCTAGAACTTTCCATGTTGAAATTTCCGTGTTTAATCTTCACTCACACTGGTGTGTCTCTGTGTGTGCAATGCAGCATGCGCCTGTCTTGTGTTTCAAATAGTTTGCTATCTCTCTACAGTAAATGATGACGTTATTTTATAAGGAAACATTAGTGCCTTCGACTTACCCAGTCATCAGAGAAAAATTGTTAACGGCAGACAGGAGAGTTCCGTTTGCTTCCTTCTGAGTAGCAGTGGAAGTATTCGTGCGTCCGGGCCGTGTCTATTGAGGGCCTGTAATGTCTAAAGCACTGTGTGGGAGGTAGGAAGAATCGGACCTGAGTCCTACTCCTCAAGGTACTTACAATCCAGGAGAGAGAATATGCATATAACTAACTATAATACAAAATAGAAGATGATAAATAATAGTATAAACAAGGATTGGACAATATACTCTTGGAGTTATAAACCTACACACACACAAATACTAGTATACACATGTTTCAATCCTCTGTTCTCATATCCTTGAGAAATTCCCTAACCAGGGAGCTTATATTGTCACTGTAGGCCCCAAATAGAAATCATTTTAGACTGGGCTCTTATTGGGGGTCCAGAGGAACCAGAATCATGTTGTATTTCTTCAATGAAAGAGAATTACTGGTAAATTTAAAGCAATAACAGACCTAACTCTGAAATTTAAAAGCATATGTGTTAGAGGTTTTCATTGAATATGATTTTGATGCTTTTTATAATGGAGAATTCTCCAAATTTAAAAAAAGAGAGAGGTGGTGTCCCATATGTTTGTTAAAGTTCTTTTTGGAACAAACAATCTTGAGAGCTTACTACAATGCCAGGTCAGTGGTTGGCAAACTCATTAGTCAACAGAGCCAAATATCAACAATACAAAGATTGAAATTCCTTTTGGGAATCAAATTTTTAAAAATTAAACTTCTTCTAACACCACTTTTTCAAAATAGACTCGCTCAGACCGTGGTATTTTGTGGAAGAGCCACACTCAAGAGGCCAAAAAGCCGCATGTAGCTTGTGAGCTGCAGTTTGTCAACCACAGTGCCTGGTACATAGTAGAGGACAGTGAGCAAGAGATTAAACTCCCAATTTCATGAAAACTTGGGTTTCAGTGAAAAGATGGGTGATGTACAATTAAACAAATAAATGAACAAGATAGCGTTTCTGATAGGCCTAAGTGTTCAGGAGGAAATAAAACAGGCAGTGGGAACAATACAAAATGGACAGTTGTATATGAATTTTTTTAGGGTCAGAGAAGGCCCATTTGAAGAGGTGAGATATATTCTGAGACCAGAGGGATGCACAAGGCTCTCCATAAGTCAGTTCTTGGCAGAGGGAGCAGCAAGTGCAAAGGCCCTGAGGTAGAAATGGGAGAGCCTGTTCAGGGAACAGGCAGGAACATTGTGAGGCTGAATGGAGAGGCTGGGTGCTGGGAGGCCACAGTAAGGAGTTATTACAGCAGACAGTTCCAAGGCTAGTGCACAAAAGTCCATTTATCTCAAATTGAAGCTGAACTCTAATATTAATACTAGGTTGAAAACCGGGTCCTGAAAGCATGGCTGCCAGGGAAAGGGAAGAAGAAAATGTGTTTCCTTTTCTGGCAGATTTTAAACAGTAAACACACCTTGTGCATTGGCTGTGTCATCATCTCGTTATCTTCCTGCTTTATCTAGGCAGCAGGTGTTCTTCAGATTCTTTAATGTTCTTCCCCGTGGCGGCCCCCCTTCTCTGTCATATCCCTATGGCCCTTCATTATCTCGCAGTTCACCTTTCTTCCCCTTTTAACAATTCTCAATTAAAACTCTCATTTCTTCCAGGCAGCCAATTACCGCTGGTGGCCGGAGAGCAAATCTGATCCCTAGAGTGAATAAGAAGGGATATGTAGTCTGGCCTGCTTATAGAATTATTTTTCTTCTTAGAAGAGTATTTGTTCAGCCAAATGAAGCTCCTGTTTTAATGAATCAGCTGATAACATAGAGATGAATAAGCAATTTGAGAGGCTTGGAGGATGACATTTTTTCCAAAAGGGGTAGACCCAGCCTTGCTTGCCTGGGAGTTTGCCTCTGTGGTTAAAGCAGGGCTTGCTTTTTATGACTTCTTCCTCCCCTCCACTCGCTGATTCTCTCCAGGGTTTCGTGTATAACCATCAAGATTTTTTTGCAGCACAACAGGAAGTCCATGTGTGGGAGACATGTGCCGGGTCAGAGATGGGTTGGGGGGTGAGGGTGGGAGATGGGGGCTCTTTGGTTTCATCAGTTGCTTGTCAATTGAATATGAGTTGAGAGCTAACTATACACAGGTAATTTATTTGGGGAGTTCCACCTGCAATTGGGGGCTACAAAGAATGGGAAGATGGGCCGAAACCAGTTTGGCTCAGTGGATAAAGCGTTGGCCTGCAGACTGAAAGGTCCCAGGTTCGATTCCGGTCAAGGGCATGTATCTTGGTTACGGGCACATCCCCAGCAGGGGGTGTGCAGGAGGCAGTTGATCGATGTCTCTCTCTCATCGATGTTTCTAACTCTCTATCCCTCTCCCTTCCTCTCTGTAAAAAAAATCAAGAAACTATATTTTTTTTTAAAAAAGGGAAAAGAATGGGGATGGTTGACTTTTGTTCCGGTGTGTGTTTCACATGCGCTCTGTGTTCATGCAGACAGAGGCAGGGCAGTCCTGCATCATGGCAATGCTGAAGGGCCAGCATCACACAGCAGATCACTCCGGGCTCCTAATTAAAATTACGGCTGGGAATTGCTTCCTTATGCGTAGCTCAAATTGCCTTCGCAATCATTTCACTTTATAACTTTTAGTTAATCCTCTCCTCGCCACCCTCAAGAATCCTTCCTCGTCCTTGAAGTTGACTCTTTTGAAATCTTTATGGGCAGCCCCGGTTCCCCCTGAGCTATGGGTATCCTGATACTTTGTTCCCACAAGGCCTCAAGTTTGTAAGCAAAAACAGCCTTAGCTCCCTCTTCTCCCATTGCACGTTTAATGAGTTATGGGTCTGGAACGCGACTGGATTTCGTGTTGCGGTCAGTGTTATAAATTAGCGGAGCCTTGCTGATCCTCGTTCTCCCTAATGAATTCGTTGCTAACTGTCTTTCAGGCCAAGGCTGCCACATACTGTTTACCCTAATTAGTATTCTCTAATGGTAATCAGGTGACCAATAACTAGCATGTTTTACAAAACGAGCACTTATTATTCCATTTCATCAGTTTTAGTAGGAAAATTACATACAATGATATTCTCCTTGGGATTCCAACTAAGAAGCGCTTTAGCCAAGAAACATCTGAGCACGGGAACAGGATGATCAAAGAATTGTGCTTTTTAATCAATATTGTATGTGGTCAGCCCCGGACCCATGTGTTCCGGGTGAGGTTGCTTAGTACAATACATTTGAAGGTTTCTGTGTTGAATTTTTTTCTCGCACCGAATTTTAAGAACTACACCAAACAGGAGTATGTGGAGAGAAGCAGGCTGTTGCTCCAATAGAGGAAACCTCTGAGAAAGAATGCCCATGGCAAAGCCACAGCCCGGTTTTCCGACCCGGAGATTAGAAAAATCAGGCAATATCTGATTCTCTAAAAGAATGGTTACGGAACTCTTAGCAAATTGTAGGCTACTGCTCTGGGATAAGCCTTGCAGATTTGTGGTTGGCGCTGAGAATGCTCATGTTGGTCATTTGTTGAATGAACAAAAGAATGTTGTGTCCAGAGTTTGTCAATGTTTGCAGAGGGCAGGGTGGAGGAGCCAACTATCCGTCCTTGTTGCTTGTTGTCTACAGGAAAAAAGGAAGGAAAATGAGATGATAATTATAATTTTCAGGATGTTTAAAATTTTTACAGCCACCTAGTGCATACTGTGGTATTATTTATGTAAGGAGAGAAGATTGTGGTGAAATAAAACATGCTTTGGAAAGGGCTGGCCAATCTTTCATTATTCCCCTAACCGTGGGTACCAAGAGGAAAGTTGGTTATGTATAGTCAGGTCATTTATATAGACGTTTTTGTTGACGTGACCAAGAACAGTTTTGAGGGCTTTCGGTCCTTGTGAATGTACAAATCACAGACCTACAGTTCAGTCGTATTGTACTTAGGCTGCCCAGCCTTACAGAAACAATTGAGCAGTTTTTAATGTGAAGAATAATTAGGCCAGAAGGGATCGATGGAGGGGGAAAGGGGCCATGTGTGTGATACTTTCAACAATAAAGATTTCCTTAACGCAGAATCATTGGGCTTAGAAACTGTTGTGATAGGTCAGGGCATCTTAAAAATTTTCGGTTACTTTAAAAACAGAATATCTGATGTCAAGTCTGAGAATCTTTGTTTCCAGTCATGGTGGGTTCTTTGCCCAGTGTGTGACCATGCCCGTCACTCTCAAAAAGCTATTACTCGGAGAATTCACATCACTTTGACTTGGCATGATCATAGTAAGGAATCCTGGGGTCAGATTCAATTGTAAAGCAGTTCTCAAGCCAAATATATATGGTTAAATTATTCCCTGTTCTTTGGCCTAATATGCATACATTTTGTATTCTGTTCAATCTCCTGTTGTGTTCAAAAGATTAAGGAATGTGGTGGGAGGACTAAGAAACTGGTAAGGGAGCACCGTTTCAGAGAGCTGGGGTTTGGATGACATTGGAGTAGCACTTTAGAACTTCACATGTGTTATCCGTCTTGGCCCTTGGAAATCAGCAACACAGATATTATTTATTAGCATCATTTTCCAGATGGGGGAACAAGCATTCAAAAATGAAAGGGTTTGCTTAAGTTTGCATTGCTACTAAACGTTGCAGCCATTGCAAGCTCTCTGATAGCGGGGCCTATAGGGAGTGGGAATGTGAGCTAGTCCCATAAACCCGTGTTCTTTCTGCCTTGTTTAGGAAATATGCAAGAATTTACTTTTCAAGTTATGCTGTGTGCACTCTGTGAAATGCATTTATGTTTTGACCACTTCCTGGTTAAGTAGAATTAAAGTTTACAGACTCTCAGGGCATGTAAAAAATATTTTTGGTCTCAAGTTTATTTCAGTAGAGTCTTTTAGCCCCCTTTGAATTCAATTAGAAAACCTTGGTCTAATAAATTTCATTGAAGTAAATACTTTGTTACATTAATACACTGTATACAGTAAATGTCTACAGGCCTTCAAGTAATGTATATACATTCATTAAAATGAACTAATGAACTAATAAAACTTACTAATAAACTATGTATGTTAAATCGTTGTAATAAAAACAATAATGAGATTTTTAGCTTACTTATACAGATGGCACAAATATTTGTATTTATGCAGTGGCCACATTAATAGAATTTTAATTTCTTGATTAAAAAACAACCCTTAAACAGTAAAGTTAATGTTTAGACCTCTGTCTATACCTAAAAAAAATCAAGGAGTAGTAGAAAGATTTTGACAGTGTTTTTAGATATAAAAAACACATCATACAATAACTACATGTACTCTGTCCCCACTATTTAAATAAAAAGTGTGTGTGTGTGTGTGTGTGTGTGTGTGTGTAGAGCCAGCAAGTTATCTGGAAGAATACAATGTACTAAGTAATCACAGCTGGTAGGATTGTATGTATTTTTACTTCCCCCCTTTTGCTTTTCCATTTTTCCCCCAAAGAACATGTAATTTTTGTATTCAGAAAAAGTTATTTTGTCAAAAGTTACTTTAATGAAAGATACACAAACTTCTTCTCAACTACAATTCTCCACCTTTGACACACACAGAGAAGAAAAAAGGAATTGGTAGGACTTTTGCTATAGTATTGCTTTATTTTCCTAAGTGAAAAAAAAATCTCTCTCATTACCCCTTTTTAATACCCCTTGAAAGAAGTGACCATGTTGGTAATTTAAATACAAATCACCTATGCTTATTCAACAGATAGAATGCTGGACCCCAATTTATATGAGTCAAAGGTTTGGTAAAAGGTCCCAAAATCTGCATTTTTATCAGGCATCACAAATTATTCTAATGCTCAATTCATTTGAGACTCACTCTTCTGTTTGAAGCATCTCCTAGATTCTTTTTTTCATATTCAGAGTTGTTGAACGTATGCCCACACAACATTCGTTCTATTGTCAGGGACATTAGAAGATTAAGTGTTCACTCTTAATGTGAGGATTCGATGGAGTCATTCACTCAGCAAGGATTTCTGCAGAACTTACAGCGAGTCCTCCTTTAAGACCCTCTGGGTTAGGACGGAGCCCTGACAGTTGGAATAGGTCCAGGTAGAGGGACTAGATCCTACAGCTCACTGATTCTCAGACCCTCTCTCTGAAAGCTACACCAACTGAGTTTCCTAAAGAGTCACTATCTTTCTTCTTTTCATTTCTCTCTCAGCCGAAACAATTGGTTATTTTAAGAAATCAGTAAATCAGCATCTTGTGTCCTGAGTGATGCATTCTTTGGAAAAAGTTCCTGTGTCAGGAATTCACACAAATTAGTGTGTTTATTTTGAAAGCATGCCATCGTGCTGAAGGTACAGTGCAAGGATCCTCAGTTTGCTGTTGATTGAAATAATCTGCAGCAAGTTAGTGCTAAGCATAAACTCGGAGACACACCAGCTTGCTGAATTGGCTGGGGAAGGTGGCTCTCTTAATTTAGCTTGCATAGAACCACCTGGAGGGCTTTTTAAAACACAGATTTCTGGGCCCGATGCCAGACTTCTAATTCAGCGAGTATGGGGCTAGGCCTCATGAATATGCATTTCTAACAAGTTCCCAGGTATTGCTGATGCTGCTTCCAGAATCCGGGCCTAAAAGAAACATCTTGGCAACCCCGACTGCAGTCACATGTAGAACCTGTTGATTTTTAACTCAAAATTTTATATGGCTTCTTGAACTGGCATTAGATGCTGCAAATATCGGGTAATTCTCTTTTGAATGGCATGGTT